TATGCTAGTCTCCTGTCTACAAGCATATCAGAGTATTATTAATAGTGTCAGAAGTTGAGTCTTTCCCATGGGTTGGGTCTCAAGTTGTGCCAGTCATTGGTTGGCCATTTCCTCAATCTCTGTTCCATCTTTTATTCCTGCATATCTTGTAGGTGACAAATTTGGGTCGAGGGTTTTATGTGTTGTTTGGTGTCCCCCTCCCTCCACTGCCTACGAGATGTGTCCACTTCAGTCTCAATATTCCTGCTGCTGGCATCTCAGCCAGGCTCACACCCCCATATTTTCCCAGGTACCTCCAGAATTCCAGGTCTTCATCTTATCTCAGAGATGCTGCAACACCAATTTCCCTTCTTTCCTAGCCCTTTCACCCCCATCCGCACTTTTCCCACACCTGATCCCCTGTCTTGTTCATCTCTTCACTCCCTCCCCAACCACTTCCTCTCTCCCTCCACTTCCCATGTCTGTCCCCTTCTTAGTGGGATTCAAGTATCATCTCTTCTACCCTCCATGTTACTTAGTTTATTTAGGTCTGTGGGTTGTACTATAGTTATCCTGTCCTATATGGCTAATATCCAAGGTTAGTTATTTTAATAGACTCTCTCTAAGCTCTCTGTGTTATCATAGATCAATACATAAACTGGGACAAGGGTATCACAACAGTGGCACACATTGTGTCCTGTCAGGTGGTACATACTTTCACTTTGATTACTTGTAATCAGTGTTTTCCAGGCTTTTCTACTACACAGCTAATGACCTGCACCCCCATGAGTACCTTGGCACTCTTTGTCTTGGTCCTCTTCAGAATGTTAATGCATTTGCCATACACTTACATCAATATGGATTCATGATTTATGTGCCTTCTGTAGTGGACTGGATTGTTACTGTTTCTTTTAGTCTGCTGAGGCTAAATAGCAAATGATTTATAAACAATGGTTTTACTTTTCACAGTTGTGAACTCTGGAAAGTCTAAAGCTAAACTATAAGGTCTAGTTGGGGGCATGCTTGTCTACAGTCCTGTTCTCACTTTAAATTCAGTGTTCTAAAGGGCCACATGATTTTATAAGGTCTCTTCAATAACGTTATGAACCTATTTATAAGGGCTTCACCTCCCAGACCTGAGTACCTCCCAAATATCTCATGCAGTTCTATTACTTTGGGTCTCAGGACTTCAACATAGGAATTTTGGGAGGACATAGATATGCAGATCATTTTAATGTTTAAATTGTTTTGTCATTTGACCAATGAGAGCTTATAAATCTGGCTTCTGTGTCTTTTTTTCCTTTCAATTTTTTATCTTAATTTTTATTAATAACACTTTATTTACTTTGAATCTCTCTGTGCCCCCTCCCTCCTCCTCTCCCAATCCCATCCTCCCTCCCCCTTCTCTACACATGTGCCTCCCCAAGTCTACTGATAGGGGAGGTCCTCCTCTCCCTCCCTCTGATCATTGTTTATCAGGGTTCATCACAAATAGCTTCATTGTCTTCCTCTATGGCCTGGTAATGTTGCTTCCCCTCTCATGGGGAGGTGATCAAAGAGCAGGCCAATCAGTTCATGTCCCTATTCCCATTACAATGGAACCCACTTGGACACTGAACTGCCATGGGCAATATCTGTGCATCTGTGCATGGTTCTAGTTTATCTCCATCAGTGGTCCTTGGTTGGAGTATCAGTCTCAGAAAAGACCCCTGTGCCCAGATTTTTTGGTTCTGTTGCTCTCCTTGAGGAGCACATGTCCTCTCCAGGTGTTATTATTTCCTACTTCTTTCATGAAGTTCTCTGCACTCTCCCCAAAATTTGACTAAAAGTCTCAGCATCTTCTCTGATATCCTGCAGGGTAAAGCTTTTCAGATTCCCTCTGTGGTAGGCTCCTGTCCTGTTCCCTGTTTTCTCCCTCTTCTGATGTCCATCCTCTTTGCCTTTCTGAATGAGGATTCAGCATCTTAGCCAGAGTCCTCCTCGTTCATAAATTTCTTCAGTTGTATAGATTTTAGTATGTTTATCCAATATTATATGTCTAATATCCACTTATGAGTAGTATATACCCTGTGTGTCTTTCTGCTTCTGGGATACCTCACTCAGGATGATCTTTTCCAGTTCCCACCATTTGCCTACAACTTTCATAATTTCCTTGTTTTTTTATTGCTGAGTAATATTCCATTAAGTAGATATACTACAATTTCTGTGCCCATTCCACAGTTGAGGGGCATCTGGGTTGTTTCCAAATTCTATTACAAATAAAGCTGCTACAAACATGGTTGAGCAAATGATCTTGTTGTGTACTTGAGCATCTTTTGGATATATGCTTAGGAGTGGTACAGCTGAATCTTGAGGAAGCACTATTCCTAATTGTCTGAGAAAGTGCCAGACTGACTTCCAATGTGATGTACAAGTATACATTCCTACCAGGAGTGGAGGAGGGTTCCTCTTTCTCAATATCCTCTTCATCATGTATTGTCACTTGAGCTTTAGATCTTAGCTCTTCTGATGGGTGTAAGGTGAAATCTGAGGGTTGTTTTGATTTGCATTTCCCTGATGATTAAGGGCATTGAACATTTAAGTGTTTCTCTGCCATTCCTCTATTGAGAATTCTGTTTAGCTCTGTACCCCATTTTTGTAAAAATTGGATTACTTGATTTATTGCTGTTTAACTTCTTGAGTTCTCTATATATTCTGGATATGAGCCCTCTGTCAGATATAGAGTTAGTGAACATCCTTTCCCAATCTGTAGACAGTATCCTTTGCTTTACGGAAGCTTTTCAGTTCCATGAGGTCCCATTTATTGATTGTAGCTCTTAGAGCCTGTGCTTTTGGTGTTTTGTTACAGCAGCGAAGACACAGACCTGAGAAAGAGATTTTCCTGGCACAGGCAGTAAGAGCATAAGAGTCCTTTCCAAAGCAATGGTTTTCTCCAACAAAGCAAGCACCGGAATTTAACTTATGGCATATGGGTAAGTTCAAATGTGGGTTTGTCTACTCAGAGTCATTCTAAATTAAGTCCTATTGTGAATGTGATAATAATGTAAAAATAAGAGATAAACAGGCACTCTTGGCTCAAAGTCATGCAGAAATAGATGTAAAATTTTTAAAATTATGGACAGAAATGCCTCTGGAAGGTTTACTTTTGACCACAGTTCTTAGCTGAAAATGAAGTAAATGAGGCCATGAAACTAGATTGCTCAGTGAACAATGCCATCTGGTAATAATGTCTTATCTATGAGGGGGATATTACAATGCTACAGTTCTCACTTACAGGAAGGACAGAGAGCACAATTTCAGAAAACTTCGAACATCCCTGTGTACACTATCCCTCAGAAAAAAATCTGTAACTTGAAAGATAGTTTGCATTTTGTAATCATTTTGATACATGATTTTCCTGTTTTAGCAGTGTCCGTGGAGCTGGGCATGGTGGCACACACCTGTAATCCCAGCACTCAAGGAGGAAGAGGCAGACAGTTTTATGTGATTTTGAGGATGGCTGGGTCTACAAAGTGAATCCAGAACAGCCAAAGCAACACAAGAAAATTGTGTCTCAAAAACAAACAAAGAACACACTCTGTGGAACAATCTGGCCTCAGTCTCGGAGAGATCAGCCTGCCATTGTATCCTAGGATTAGGATAACAGGGATGCACTTCTGAGCCAAGTGATTTTTAAGTGGTCTATCCTTGAATCAAGGAATTAAAGGATAAAATAAGATGTACAAAGGAACCATCTTCCTTTCAATGAGCAGCAATGTCTTCAAATTCTACAAATAATTTCTGTCATCTGTAAGTGGCTGCATTGCTTTCTTAATTTCATCATTTATAACTAGATATTAGACATATAATATAGGATGATCATACTAAAATCTGAACAGCTAAAGAAGCTAATCAAGGAGGACCCTGGGTAAGATGCTCAATCTTCATTCAGAAAGGCAAATGGGATGGACATCAGAAGAGGGAGAAAACAGGGAACTGGACAGGAGCCTACCACAGAGGGCCTCTGAAAGACTATCCAGCAGGGTATCAAAACAGATGCTGAGACTCATAACCAACCTTTGGGCAGAGTGCAGGTAATTTATGAAAGAAGGGGGAGATAGAAAGACCTGGAGAGGGCAGGAGCTCCACAAGGAGAGCAACAGAACCAAAAAATCTGGGCATAGGAATTTTTGGAGACTCATACTCAAAACAAGGACCACAAATGGAGATAATGTAGTACCCCGGACAGATTTAGCAGCTCACTTTCCAAGAGGGTACCCTAGTAATGGGAACAAGGACTGTCTCTGACACAAATGCAGAAGCTGGCTCTTTGTTCACCTCTACCTGTGGGGGGAACAACCTTACAGAGAAAGACAATGAAAACAGTCCTGAGGAGACCTGATAGACTATGTTCAGATGGAAGGAGAGAAGTGCCTCCCCTATCAGTGGACTTGGGGAGGGGCATAGGAGAAGAGGGAGAGAGGGTAGGATTAGGAGGGGATGAGGAGGGGTATATAGCAAGGATACAAAGTGAATAAACCGTAATCAATAAAAATAAAATAAAAATTTTAAAAATGCTGGAGTGTGTTTGTGTGTACATACATAAGTTATGGTGTATACGTGCTAGTGAGAGTACAACTTATTGCTATTTATTTTCTACATCCCATATATAAGTTCTTGACATGGAACACAAAGAGTCTTATGGCCAGTGACCACACTGGCCCTTATTTAGGCTGAAAAATTATTTACATATCTGCTGGTGTGTGAGTTTGCATATACAGCAGCCTGACTATAGAAACATTAGAAAAATCTGTAACAGTGATATGGACTACTCAGGGATTGAGCTCAAATGATCAGCCTTAGCGATAACTACACTTACCCAATGAAACAATTCTCTGACATTCACTTGTAGTTTTGAGAAAGTCTTATGAACAAGTCTTTACTCCTAAGAAAGAACTAACACATTCCAAAACAAGACAGGAGTGTATAATTTTCATTTGCAAGTAGCATTTATTATTCAAATCATTTCATTTTCTTTCATCCTCAGATGAAAATATATTCATACTCTGAATAAAAGACAATATTGTACTGATGTAATGTTTCAACTAAGTTTTATGCATCTCAATGAGCTCAGTGGGAAGAGATTGTGGTATGCAAAACTGACAACATAACCTTGAAAATCATATAAGCATGACCAAAATAAACCCCACAGTGTCTCACTCTTCATACATCTGTCATAGCCTAAGAATGAATAGTCCACTAAACACACAACATGCTTTTTTGAAATAAATCTTGTTGCTGTTACATTAACTAGCACCTCTACTAAGAGGAAGTACTTCAAGATTATGTCCCATATAGTAAATATGGGAACATGCAGAAACATGGAACTTCAAACAATATATACATACATATACACACACACATACTATTAAGCATTTATTAATTATAGATATCCAAGCAAGGCTTAAAAACAAACATTTTAAATAAATTTGTGAAAACATAAAAAAAATACCACACATTCTCAGAGACCCTTCCTCCAAAACTATGATCACACACTACCTAATATAAATAAGCAATGAACCACATAGATGATGGGGATCCCATTCTATACATTGCACAGAAAAATACCTTTCACCAAGTGGAAATGCATTAGGATCTGAACAGCCACCACAGAAGGAATATCAGAACAACCACATAAACTTCTGTGAATGGATTTGCTACACATACAGCAAATTCAATCCCTACTCCAATGTTCATAATTCAAACCACAATCACAATTGGTGATCTCCTCCATTACATTTAAGGGAACATGGTAAATAATTTACTTCCTCCAAGGCTATGATAAAAACAGATACAAACAAGTTTCTTTTCTTGAAAATGGATACATTTATTATGTACAAAGTAATCAACTCTTTTGTACGAATAGGGTTGCTCTCTTCTATGAATTCTTTTCTACTTCCTGATATGATAATATAAGATATTTACAGTACTAGAGACATCGCTTTGTAGTTAAGACAAGTTCATTCCCAGGACCTAGGTAAGGTTTTTGACAACTTTCTAGAATTCCTGGTATGAGAAGATCTGGTCTCAGAAAGACCAGACAATAAGGTCTGGTCTTCATGGAAACTAGAATGGACAGTCACATTGAAACACAAAGACAAACTGTTATCACATAATGGAAAAACAAATTCTTAAACAAATATATGTTTACTCATGAATGTTTTACTTATATAAGCATTCATTACTGAACTCAGGTGTTGAGGCAACTACAGGCTTATCTATAAAAGTTTTCTTCATCATGAATTCTTTCATGTGACAGAAATGAAACACGTACGTTTGAAGTCAGAGGAATGAATCCTTCTCAGTTGGTGGTATTATTTGGGAATGTTTAAGAAATGTATCCCTCCTGGAGAAATTATGTTACCACATAGGTTACATTAATAAGGTTTCTCTCCAGTGAGCTCTTTTATGTATTAGGAGATGACTGTTAAATGCAAAGGCTTTACCACATTGACTACATCCATAAGACTTCTCTCCAGTGTAAGTTCTTTTATGTATTAGGAGACTACTGTTACATGCAATGGCTTTACCACATTGCTTACATTCATATGGCTTCTCTCCAGTATGTCTTTTTTTATGTCATAGGAGATTACTATTATGTCAAAATGCTCTATCACATTGGTTACATTCATAAAGTTTCTCTCCAGTGTGCATTCTTCTATGTACATGGAGATTATTATGGCATGCAAAGTTTTTGACACATTGGTTACATTCATAGGATTTCACTCCAATAAGTGTTCTTGTTTAAGATGACTCTTACATGATAAGACTTTATGACACTGGTTATGTTCATAAGGATTTTCTGCAACATGGATTATTATGTATTAGGAGACTGTTGTAAAAAGGTGATTCCACACTGCTTACATTCATAAGGTTTTTCCCCAAGGTGTGTTCTTGTTGTCTTCAGAGACTACTCTGAAATGCATAGACTTTATCACTTTGGGTACATTCATCAGATTTCTCTCCAGTGTGAATTTTTTTATGTACTACCAGATGACTGTTCTGTGCAAAGGCTTTACGACATTCATTGCATTCATAAGGTTTCTCTCCAGTGTGAGTTCTTTTATGTCTTAGGAGAACACTGTTATAAGCAAAGGCTTTACCACATTGGTTACATTCATAAGGTTTTTCTCCAGTGTGAGTTCTTTTATGTCTTAGGAGAACACTGTTATATGCAAAGGCTTTACTACATTCGTTGCATTCATAAGGTTTCTCTCCCGTGTGAATTCTTTTATGTATTTGGAGACTACTGTTCTGTGCAAATGCTTTACCACATTGGTTACATTCATAGGGTTTTTCTCCAGTGTGAGTTCTGTTATGTACTAGGAGAGTATACCTCTGTGCAAAGGTTTTACCACATTGGTTACATTCATAAGGTTTTTTTCCAGTGTGAGTTCCTTTATGTCTTAGGAAATCACTGTTACATGCAAAGGCTTTACCACATTGGTTACATTCATAGGGTTTTTCTTCAGTGTGAGTTCTTTTATGTCTTAAGAAATTACTGTTACATGCAAAGGCTTTATCACATTGGTTACATTCATAACGTTTTTCTCCCGTGTGAGTTCTTGTATGTATTAGGAGTTCAGTGTTAGATGCAAAGGCTTTATCACATTGGTTACAGTCATAAGGTTTTTCTCCAGTGTGAGTTCTTTTATGTCTTAGAAGATGACTGTTCTGTGAAAAGGCTTTACCACATTGGTTACATTCATAACGTTTCTCTCCCGTGTGAACTCTTTTATGTATTTGGAGAACATAGTTGTATGCAAAGGCTTTACCACACTGGTTACATTCATAGGGTTTCTCTCCAGTGTGAATTCTTTTATGTAGTAGGAGCTTTTGGTTAGATGAAAAGGCTTTACCACACTGGTTACATTTATAAGGTTTTTCGCCAGTGTGAGTTCTGTTATGTACTAGGAGAGTATACCTGTTTGCAAAGGCTTTACCACACTGGTTACATTCATAGGGTTTCTCTCCCGTGTGAGTTCTGTTATGTAATAGGAGAGTACACCTCTGTGCAAAGGCTTTACCACATTGGTTACATTCATAAGGTTTTTCTCCAGTGTGAGTTCTTTTATGTATTAGGAGACCATTGTTGTATGCAAAGGCTTTACCACACTGGTTACATTCATAGGGTTTTTCTCCAGTGTGAGTTCTTTTATGTCTTAGGAGATCACGGTTACATGCAAAGGCTTTACCGCACTGGTTACATTCATAAGGTTTTTCTCCATTGTAAGTTCTTCTATGTCTTAGGAGATGACCATCATTTGCCAAGGCTTTGCCACATTGGTTACTTTCATAACGTTTCTCTCCAGTATGAGCTTTTTTATGTATTATAAGAGTACTATTACCTGCAAAGGCTTTACCACATTGGTTACATTCATGAGGTTTCTTTCCTATATGTGTCCTTTTATGTCTTAGATGACTGTTATGTGCAAAAGCGTCACCATATTGGTTTGATTCGTAGCGGTCCTCACGAATATGCTTACTTTCATATGTGTGGGGACTCCTGTGATGTGTAAAGCCTTCGTCATATTGAGTATCTTCAGGGGGTTTGTCTGCACTATGACTATTTTCATACCTGCAAAGATAATTGATACATATGAAAGATGGAAGCTTTACCACATTCATTACACTGATGAATCTAATTGTCCATGTCACTTAATTTTACAATTTGGTGTAAAGATAAATAGGAATTACATCATAGGTTTTCATCATTATTTTCACATTCATGGTGTTCTCCTTCTCTAGGGGGTGTTTTGGATATTTGAAAATACCTGTGATGGTGAAAATATTTGTAACCGTGCTCACATTTATACTATACTTTCTTACTTTATTCTATAAGATGTTTTACCACATATTTGTAGAAAACTGCGAGACCTCAGAGTTTTAACTCACTGATTGGGTTAATAAATTTCCCTATACTGCACACCACGGTAAATTGGCAAAGATAACTGTGACAAACAGAAGAATTTATATTTTCCTAAAACTACATTTTCTGAAGTGTGATTTTGTGAGAATTCCTAATGAAGTTGAATAACCAGTTAATTGATGTTGTTGTAATATTATGTGAAAGTGTTTCTGTGTATTGAAATGCTGATTGCTGAGACAGCAGAAAGCTAAGTGCTACCAGATTGCATAATTGCTCTTTTTATGGCCCATCACCTGCCCTATATTTTGTAAACATTTGTCCTTCCTTACATTGGAAATAATAAAGAGCTGACAACTGATAGCAGGGCACAAAATGGAGGGCAGAACTTCTGAGAGAGGTTTGCTGGGAAGAAGAAAGCAAATGACAGGCGATTCACCAGCAGGACAGAGGGGTTAACAGATAGACATGAAGATGAACAAAGAGGTAGTGTTGCCCATGCAGCAGGACACTGTATTAGGTTTATTTGTGTTAGGGAAAAAGAGGGTTCAGAATCCACCCAGTTAAATTGCCTAAGCTTTAAAATATAAAATAGTCTCTGTGTCATTATTTATACTGCTTGAATCTCTGAATAGCCCATATAAAGCATAATAGGTATCGCCATTTAAACTTCTACTCATAATGGGGACTACTATTTATTTTAGTTGTTTTGTGTGCTATATCGTTTCTTTCAATATATCTATGACTTGTATGCATTGTGATATATGATATCCCTATTAAAAGAAGAAGAATAAATGACATGGTTTCACGTTGCATTCACACATTTGATTTTTGTTCATTATAGATATGTGCTGTACGGATTATGGTTTTTCTTGACTCTAAAAATCTGTCCTTCTCACAAAGCTTAGCAACATTATTACAAGTGTATGAGTAACCCCAGCTTTCCTATGGACTACTTTAAAATAATGTTTTCTACATACTTTCAGCAACTATTTACTGTGAATACCTTTAGCACTATCTGAGTTGTAGAAGACTACAGAAATGTAGCTCCACCTCATAGCACTAACGAGGCTATGATTTAAATGTTGATCTTGCATAAGGTATGGTTTCCTTGCATTCTTAGAGGAGTGCCTTGCAAACACACATCAAATACCTAACATGGAGGTACATGGCTTAGTAACAAGTTAGTAATCATCAATAAATATACTTAACACATTCCATTTACACCGTCCCTTTTCTTTCAAATTTCCAAGACATACTAACATTTTCTGAGAACCATATTCATATCAGCTTACACATGAAAATTACCTTATATGTCTTCTAGAACTCTGACAATGCTCTTCAATATTATGATCTTCCCAACTGTAGCCTAAAATACAATACCCGAAAATGTATGTTTTATTATTGGAAATAAGGCAAAATTTAGGTCATAATCTATGATCAATCAAAGAACCATTCACTTTAGTCTTCCTCATGCTCAAGTGAAATTACAGAAGTACATCAATAATAAATAAAGAGTTCCTCATTTTAAAAAGTAAAGATAATTCACTCTCATACCTATAGCAGTGAGATTCCTGTAGGTCTCCAGCATCACATCTTGGTAGAGACTCCTCTGGGAAGGATCCAGCAAAGCCCACTCTTCTCGAGTGAAGTTCACATGCACATCATTGTAGGTCAATGCATTCTAAAATATTCACACGTGTACAACAGAAAGCATGAAACGGACAAAGTATACTGAAAATGTATACTTTGTTTACAATATTTTCATTGAATTCTGGCGTTTCTTCTCCTTATTTTCTGACACACAGGTTCTAATGTAATCATGAACTCTTTTTAGGAGGAAACTGAATAGTGAGGTTCACCTCTCTAATTTCTGCATCCTTTCAGGAGGATATAGCCTTGCAAGAGAAATGCCAATTCACAGACATAAAAAGAGAGAGAGTAAACACTAACAGTAATGAGCCCATATCAGATAAATAGTATGAACAATCCCTAACTAAAATAACAATGGACAAGCTGGCTGTATTTTCTCAAGTCTTTTATTCCAAAAACACTCAGGAGACAGGCCCAGGAATATTTCATAGAGCTGGATGCTAGCCTGATCTACGCAGTAAGACAGTCAGGGGTATGTAATAAAAACCTGTATATTCTGTAAAAATTAATCAACCAAATAAAAAAGATAGAGACACCTCTGTGAACACTACATCAACAGCTCAGACAATAAGATCAAGAATTAACAAAGGGACACATGAAGATGAAAAGCACCTGGAAGGTAAACAACTCTATCAATAGAACAAATGATAGCACATGGACTGGGAGAGGACCTTCACCAACCCTATCTCTGACTGAAGGATAATATCTAAAATAAAGAATTGAAGAAATTAGATGCCAACAAACGAAATAACCCAATTAAATCATGGCATAAAGAACTAAACAGACAACTCTCAATACAGGCAGTGCTAATGGCTGAGACCCACTTAAAGATATGTTCGGTGTCCTTAGTCATCAAGGAAATGCAAATCAAAAGGACTCTGCATTTTGAGCTTACATTTGTCAGAATGGCTCAGATCATGAACTCAAGAGATAGCACATGGTGGTGAGGATGTGGAGTAAGGAAAACACACCTTTAGTGCTGGTGAGAATGAAAACTTAAACAACCACTTTGGAAATGCATCTAGACATTTCTCAAAAACTTTACAACAGTCCAACATCAATACCTATATACCTGAAGAGCTATACTACTCCGGGGAATATACCCAAAAGATGTTCTACCATAACACATGGACACTTGCTCAACTATGTTCATAGCAGATTTATTTGTAATAAACAGAAACTGGAAAAAACCTAGACGTCATCTGTTGAAGAATAAATAAATAAATAAAATGTGATACAGTTATACAATGGAATACCAATTAGCTATTAATAACAAAGACTTCATGCAATCAAGCAGAGAATGGATGGAACTAGGAAAGATTTTTCTGAGTGAGGTAACCCAGACCCTGAAAGTCCCACATAGTACCTACTCACTCATAACTGGAAATTAACCATAAAGTACAGGATAACCATGGAACAATCTAGAGACCCAGAGTGTCAAGGAGAGCAAAGGGAGGATGTAGGAAACTCACTCAAAAGAGAAAATAAGATAGGTATCTGAATTAAATGGAGGGAAGGAACAGGGTGGGAGAGGGAGTGAGGAGGATAATGGGGATGGACATCAGGTACAGGAAAAGTAGAGGCAAGGAAGGAATGAAGAGAGAGAATAGAAATCAGGGTGGGTGAATTTGGAGGTCATGGGAGGCCCCTGGCAGGATACAGGTGTGGCCCTAGATGAGAAACCACATCAGCATGGGTTAAGGACCATGAAGTTACCAAATGAGAAATATAATATGCTCTGTTAAATCTCAAAATTCAACATGTGGATGAAGATCAATTGAAGAACAGATTTGATATGAACAAATACCTACATTTCAGGTCATCAGCCAATAATATAAAAACAAAACAAAATTACAAAGATAGCACTCTAGATTAAGAGTCAGATGAATCTCTATGTCTGAGGCTTGCCTGTTTTACATACCTACTTACAGGACACACAAGACGAGAGAAAGTTTTTCTTCAAAAACAAAACCAACAAAATAATATAAAACAATAGATCAATAGTCCCTTAGAAAGTGGAAGCAGGGGGGGGCCAAGATGGCGGCACAGGGAGAACACCGTGTCTGAGAAGCGGGACAACACACTCTGTGCAGCGACCAGGAGACCGAATTCTGGGCCCTAAAACAACAGCGATCGATCGTGTTTCCCAGGTGAGGAGAGGCTCCAATGGCGTGGGAAGCGGTTGGGTCCACTCTCTGCTGCCCAGCCAGAACCCGGAAGAGAACCCGGCAACTTGGGTTTTGGGTCTCCGGGCTGGTGCCGCAAGCCTGCTTGTCACGATCAATTTCTCAGGCTGATCGGTGGGCACAAGGGTGCCTGAGGCTGAGAGTTCCAGTCGCAAAAAAACTCCACGGGGAAGAAAAGTTGCCAGACTGCTCACGGGTCACCTAGTCTTTCCCTGGAAGGTCTCACTGACCGCGGGTACCTGCCGCCATCACAATTGAGCTCCCGCGCTGCGCACTGATTGCAGCTGCGCGCCCAGCTCAAAATCCCTACTCCCTCTTCGAAGGAGGCATGAGGTGTCCAGCAGAATCTCCCACAGACCACATTGTCTGTACCCCCACCCGAGATCGGGGCTGAGAAAACCCAATCCTTTCGGGCACTCCCCCAAACGCCGCCATCACCCTGCCGCAGCAGAGCAGAAAGATAAAGAGGTGCACAGCGGCTTCACAGTGCCGGACCTCCAGAGCTGCTAGCCGCTCCTAGCAAACAAACTACAGCTCGGGATCTGGGACTGTGGTCATTCTACATGCCCTGAGATTATCCTGGGTCCAGCGCAATAAGGTCTAGCAGCAAGTTCTATCACCGGCGCCCCCCCCCGGGAGAGAAACGCCGCCGGCTCAGGGCTCAGGATCCGACTGAGAAGCCCCAACCCCTGCTGGCACTCCCCTGAGAGCACCTCCATAAGCTTGCCCTATGGAGGGCAGAGGAGAAGGTCAGAGGGGAAGGACAGAGAGGCAGCCTGCCAAGGACACAGCACCCTCTCTCCAGCGGCCCCTAGCAGAGAAACCCAACCTCTGGATCTGAAGACACTCAACCCTACCCGGTACTCTCTTGGAATCAGCAAACATAGATTCTACCGCTAGGCTGCTTCTGGCAGAGAGATCTGGGCCCGGGATCTGGGATTGAGTACACTCACCCTAACTCTTTCCCGTGCCACCCAGGGACCAGTCAACATAACCCCTCCTGGCAGAGGGAAAGGATAAAGAGGCAGCACACAGGAAAGGTGGACACCGAGTCCTGCGGCCACAGTGTCACAGAGCTGTCTATTAGCCTACCCGTGCACTTCCACAGCAGGACAAAAACAGAGAGTAGTGAGCAAGGGGAACCCCTGTGCATTCCAACTGGTCCTGCAAGAGAGTGAGTGAGTCTTCTAGGGAGAGACTGCCCCAGACCCAGGGCCTCTCCACAGAAGCAACCAGATGAGATCCCTGCCACCCACACTCCTAGTGTGGGCATCAGAGGGATTCTTGGGATAGCGACCCCAACATTGAAGCCTCTGTCTTGCGGGTCCACCAGGGTAATCCAGGCAAACAATCCCTGGATCTCAGTCAGAACTGCATAATAGTGACTTGCAGGCCACTGCAGTAGTCAGAGATTCTGTGCATGCACACTGCGCCCGCTAAAAGCGCACACGAATAGCGCCAGCGTCACATTCTTTACTTAGGCAAAACTGAAAACACAGTGCACACTCCCAAACCAGTCACCTCTCTCATCTTCCTGAAAAAACAGTCCAGAAAACAGAAAGACAGGGTCATAGCCCAAACTACAATCTCGAGGAACAACCAGTGAGGATTATAAATAACCAGATGGCTAGAGGCAGACGTAAGAACACTCCCAACAAAAATCAGGACATAATGACCTCACCAGCAACCCCACAAAACAATGGACACTTCAATTCACTAGATATACAAGAAAACGACCTCAAAACTATGTTTCTCCAGCTATTAGAGGCTGAAATGAACAAAGCCCTCAGAGAAATAACCAAAGAAATCGAGACTAACCAAGAGGAAACAAATCGTACTCTCAGAGAAATGACCACGAAAATTGAGGCAAACAGAGAAGAAATGCACAAAGCTCTCAAAGAAATGTCCACACAAATGAAGGCAAATAAAGAAGAAATAAACAAAGCTCTCATAGAAATACAGGCAATTATACCCAAAGAAGTAGAGGCACAATTAGTGATACATAGAGAGGAAACGGACAAAAAAAATAGAAGCTATCATTGAAAAGCAGGAGTCCACATTCAAACAGATGAACGAAATGGTGCAAGACATGAAAACAGAATTAGAATCAATAAAGAAAACACAAATAGAGAAAAACCAAGAGCTGGAGAACATAGAGAAAAGATCAGGCACTACAAAGGTAAGCATCACCAACAGAATACAAGAAATGGAAGAAAGAATCTCAGGAGCCGAAGATACACTTGCGGAAATTGACACGTCTCTCAAAGAAAAAATAAAATCAGAAAAGTTCCAAACACAAAACATCCAAGAAATCAAGGACACCATGAAAAGACAAAACCTAAGAATAATAGGAGTAGAAGAAAAAGAAGACATCAGGCTCAAAGGTCCGGAAAATATTTTCAAGAAAATTATAAAAGAAAACTTTCCCAACTTAAAGAAGGAGATGGCCATAAACATACAAGAGGCCTACAGAACACCAAGTAGACTAGACCAGAAAAGAAATTCTTCATGTCACATCATAGTCAAAACACTGAACCTACAAAACAAAGAAAAAATTCTAAAAGCAGCAAGGGAAAAAGGCCAAGTAACATATGAAGGTAGACCTATCAGAATCACACCAGATTTCTCAACAGAAACTATGAAAGCCAGAAGGGCCTGGACAGAAATCATACATTCCTTAAGGGACCACAGATTTCAACCCAGACTACTATACCCAGCAAAATTTTCAATCAACATAGACGGAGAATTCAAGATATTCCAAGACAAAACCAAATTTAAACAATATCTACATAGTAACCCAGATCTACAGAAGTTACTAGAAGGGAAACTCCAAACCAAAGAAAAC